GCCGCCGTATCTTTTAACATGCGCTTCGCGATCTTCCTCGATGCTGCCACTTTGAAAACATCAGCACATTGAGCAGCCTGCGTGACATGCTTGAGCGCTTAGTGTGGACTCCACGTTTGCCTGTCGAGTGAAGCCGAGGGAAGCCGAGTGAAGCCAGACAACATCAGCAGATTGAACAACCTACATAACATGCTTGAGCAGTTGTGCTGCCTGCACGCTGTTGCACTCGAGTGAAGCCAAGGGAAGCCGAGTGAAGCCGGACAACATCAGCAGATTGAACAACCTCCGTGCCACACTTCTGCATTTGCATTTGTAAGTTGCCTGCATGTCCAGGAGCTTCGCTCCAGTTTCGCTTCGCCCAGGTGGTGGTGGTTTCTCCACGGTGCCTCAGGTGTTGGTTCTCCCCCGCCTCGCCTTCCGCACCACGCGCCTGGTGGTTGGTTCAAGCTAGCGCTAATCAACATCGCGGTAGTTTGCTTGCTGCCTGTTTGTTCATGTTGGAGCCGCCCGAAGCATGGTATGCATCATCGAGATCCACATGCCGAGCCACTCGATCTACACGCGCGACATGATGGTGGGCAAGATCGCGATGAGCAGGGAGAACCTGCACTGAGAAGTGCATGAAATTCCTCAACTTTTAGTACCATATTCGAGCTACTGACAAAAAGCGGAATCTGTCTGTGTGCAGCTTGTCGCGACTAGACTACTTGATCGCTAACAACTAACTTGCCTCCATGCTTCCGGGCCACTCGTCCTCTAGTTTTAAGGGTAGACCAAGTATGAAACAGCAGCACAACTGTTTCAGTGTACCCCAGATGTGGGCCACGGAGAAGGCAATCTCATGCATCCCCAAGCCCACAACTGCGAGGCTTGGTTCCAGAACCATATGTTCGAGCTCAGCGTCCTGACCAGAGCTTTGGTTGCAGGGAAATGAGTACGTGCTCACCAGCGACCTTGAGCGAGTCAAGTCCTGTCGAACTCCTAGGTTGGAACAGGGCTGTTTTCCTAGGCATGCAGTTGAGGGGAGAAGCATGTGTTGCATATCTTGGATGCTGTGGGTCGAAACCAATGGGATCCCATTTTGGGGCTTTCGGTGAATTCACCACCCACTTTAGAATCTATGGTGGATTGAATCGGATGTTCACTGGGGGTACGATTTGGCTTTGGATTTTGACCCATGGCCATATGGAGAGGGGCCACTTTCACGAGCCCCTTCACACAAGCCTCGGCCGTGGTATCACCAAGGCGCGTCCGCTCTGCCGCGGCACTTTCAGCTGCCAAGGCGCGCGCCTGTGCCAAGTTGCTTGCGGCATTTCCACACCGGCGCACTTGGGACCGTAGCGGCATTGTGTGCTGTCAACATGTTTGCCAAGTGGCGCATGGGATTTATTCTAAACAATAGCATGCAAATAGACATCCGCTTTGTTTGTTGCTTTGTTTGTTTGGGTGTCTATGAGTTAAACTGCGCAGTAATGCATCTGGAAACTTACATGACGCCGTGTTGCTTTCTGGGGCAGGACATAAAGCGAATCCTGGAGAGCGAAGGGCGATGGTTCCCACCACGTCGCTCCCACAAGGCAGGGAGCATGCCAGTGATCATGCCAGAGAGGAAATGACCCCTATCAACCATCCCCTATGGTTTCCTTTAAGGGAATCCCTGGGTTCATTCCCAACACCCGGCATCTTTCCCTGCTCAGCACCAGCAAGTTAATGTGGCAGTCAAAACATTCTCGGGCTGTTTGCAGGCATTGGGGGAGGTTCCATTCATACATTTGCCCTTTGAGAAGACTTTTCGATAGTTTTTCGGAAGCCAGAAGGCAAGCGACGTTTCATTGCAAGGGCTTCAGGCAGAAAAGCTTTGCTCCAGTCACTGGAGTGACGGCCCCCGGTCTTCCATTACAAGGGCTTTCTCCCTATCGCACAAACGATAGGTAAGGGGTCATTTGCAAGTCAGGCGACAGATGACAGCTTCTCCAGCTGGACGGATGACCAGCTGCGCTTGCGGCTCTTTGATTCTGCGGAACCCAGGCGGCATCGGTTGCTTTTCTTTCACTCGTTCTTTGCCATCGTCAAAAGGGGAACCTGGAGTCTCCATGACCGTTACAAAATGGGGTCATTACCCAAAATTAAAGGGTCATGAACCCATTTTTTCAGAGTCATGGAGAGTCTAGGAAGGCGTTTAAGTGTGGCTTTACTCTGAAATGTCCGGCCAGTTCCACCTCACTTCGAGGAGTGGTGACACGACAAAGGCGTTCATTGCTATCATAATCCTGAAGATAGCCACGGCAGTTGCCATAGTCACTGCCATAGTATCATGTTTTCCAGGTAGCATTATATAATAACTCTATAACAAAACCAGTACTGTAGTCATACTCTCAGTTGTCTAATCAAACAGAAGTAACAATATTTATGACAATTATGATCATAATAGTCATCATCATCATCATCATCATCATCATCATCATCATCATCATCATCGTCATCGTCATCGTCATCGTTATCATCGTCATCATCGTCATCATCATCATCATCATCATCATCATCATCATCATCATCATCATCATCCTGGCTATCACGTCATCTCCGTCGCCATAGCTTGTCAGCTGACCCCCCATGTTCATTTTTGTCGCAGTCTTTGCTCAGCTGAGGAGCTTGTTTCAGGCTCTCGGATGCAGCTCCTGCATCGGATCATGGCTGCTCGCAGCAGACCTCCGGCCGCAAGACGCGTGGCGCCAGCGATTTCTTCGGCCCATGGCGGCGCCAGGGTTTGTCAATTTTCCCGTGGGCCGAGCTTTTCCAGGGCTTGGCGTTGGCGTATTGCACGCTAAGGAGAAGTGAAGCCCTTCACCAAGTGGTCGAAGAAGGAGGTGGAGCAGGAGTGTAACAGACTTGGCTGCTTTGGCAAGCAGGGAGCAGTTGGCAAACTCGTTGCGGCGCCTGTATGACGGGGTATAAAGGGGAGTGTCGCAAAAAGGGCCCCCTTTAGAAACCCTATGGCTCCCTGGAGTATGTGCTGCCTTCTCCAGGCGTGCAAGGGGATGAATAGTTTTTGACAACCATACAATGAAGCATTGATGCAGCCATGTAAGAGGTTTGGGTCTTTGCCAGCTGTGGTACTGTGAGCACTTTCCCGCCTGCCAGTTTGTTTTTCTGCCGCCTGCCTTTCTGGGTCTTATCACTCTTGTTTGGCACATGCGTGCATTGCGAAAACGCAATATTTGTTGCTGCGCCATTTGGACTATTTCCGGGGCATTAACCTGTCAACCTCACAGCCAAGCATACATGAGCTGCTCAGAAAGTGTGGAGCTGGTATACGCGATGATTTATCCTGCCTTACGCAGCTCCGTATCGGAGTTTCCAGAGCCATACCCTTGTAGCAGCCTACTGCGTCCCATGTTTTGCTGCGTGCCTTGTGGCTCCAAGCACTGCGAGTCGCGTGCCCATGCAGCACACTCGCAAGAACACTTCGGAGCTGGACACCGGTATGACGTGCAAGTTTGCATGGTCAATAGCTGTTTCAGCTGTACTCGCCGCAGGGTTGACCAGTTGCTTGATTGGCAAGAGGAAAAAACATGAGTATGTTCCACCGAGTGTGATGGAGTGTGCGGTGTTGCGCAAGCAGTGCTCGGCAAGACACAGCCATGCGACCATTGGATTGGCATGAACTTCACCTTGGCTTCAGCGGTCACAGCTGGAGGGGTCTTGGCGGATAGGAGCCTCGCCGAGGCCTGCCAGTCTTCAGCACCAAGCAGCACAACGTGGAGGCCATCAAAATGAACCGCGCGAATCGGACGAAGAGCTTGAACGAGGAGGATCTTCGCTTCGAGCTGCCCGGCCTTGACTGTTGGAACGTTTTTGCTTTTGGTGGGTCCCACCCAAAGAATGGTCGGCCCAGAACGGGGCCACGGGCACTGGAAAGCCGAGGTTAACAGCCAAGGTATGTTGCAATCTTTTACGGGGTGGGGCATCGGCTGCTTGCTTCTTCAACATTCGCAGCCGTGTTCCAGCACAAACTCTTCCTCGTGATCCTTTTAACCCAGAGTGCTAGTTTGCACTCTGTTTGCAGACCTTTGTACCCTGTGCTTGCCTTTTCCCTAGGCTTGCCTACCGGAACCTTGAAGTAACCGACAGCCGGGAGCAGAACACTCAGACCTTGCTGGCTTTCTTGAGCGGCACCAAGTGAAGGGCCCGCCGCGAGCGCCGAGCCGCAGCGGCAGTTGCTCCGAAAGTGCCGGGAAATGTTGGCTCGGTGCGGGGCTGCTCGCTGCATGTCTCCGTTTCCCAAAGCGCATCGACCTTTTGTCCCTTTGATTTTGATTTGTTGGTCCATGTTGAGTCATGGCCGTAAAAGGCGTTTGACCTTTTATGTCCAGGTCCTGTGACAAGTGAGCTGGTCCAGTTGCAGGAGTATTGCCAGGTGTTGGGCACGCACTGGTTCTTGCTGATTTGTATCGCGTGCATTTTAAGTGGTTTGCTTCAGGTGCCCAACACGTAGAAGCAAAAGGCTTTGCCAGGATGCTTGTGGGTCTAGGCCGCAAAGCTCACATCGAGCGCATAGCGGCGCGGACTCCGGACCTTCCCGCGGCCGTGGGCTCTGACGCACCTGGCGAACATAAGCAGCAGAAACCCGAGCAAAGCAGCTTCTCCACGATTGGAGGCCGAGGTCAGCGACAGGGACTGTCAGGTCCGGGGCTTCCTCCAAGCTTCCTGAAAGAAAGGCTCCTGAAAAGCGCCCTTAGGCTCCTTGTAAGCTTCCTCAAAAAGCTCCTTCTGGCCATGTTCTGAGAGGGCCATCGTGAGCATCATCCCTTCTGACCGGGCTTTCCATGCCGACTTTGATGGGCGACAGTATCGATAAGCTTTTTCCATTCCTTCTGCCAGCTGGCCAGTGTTTTCACTACTGGAGGATTCCACTTTCGGCGATTACTTTGTGCCATGCCCACCTTGGCGACAACCCAGCTGAGGGCCTTCCAAATTCCAGCCCCCCCCCCCCCATGTGTCCCTTATCGCTCCCCTCTCACCGCTTTCGGCACTTCATGGCCCGGTGATCCATCGCAGAGCGGACGCCTGGCGCCCTGGATGGACACCTGGCAAGAGCCTTGGCATGAAGCCGGGCGCCATTTGGTGGTGGTTTCCCTTGTTTTCGATTAGGATTCGGATTAGGGATTCCCCTTTTTTGAACAAGCCAGCCTATTGTTCAACCGATTGAGTGTTTGACTATTCACGCATGTTATCAAGTGGGAACAAACAAAAGGTTTGATTCAAATTTGCAAACAGTGAGAGGGCAAACAATGCAATGCTGCAACATCCATGAGTTGAAGCGTGATTCAGGTGGTGGTGGTTTGGTGCGCCTTTGAGTCAAGGATACATCGGGGCACTTGGCACTGGGGCCAGCTTAGCCGCATTCCAAACGTGCAGCGGGGGGAACAGGGGTCCCTATATATGTCCATGGTTGGCGGTTTTAAACCGGTTGGCGGTTTGGGCTTCGCTTGGTAGACAATTAAGGAGGAAACATGGGAACCCTGCAGGAATGTCATCCATGGCTTGGCTGGGGTGGAAGGAACAAGGTAACAAGGCGCTGCTTGTGGACATGGCCAGCAAACACACCTCAAGGCCTACCATACCCAGCAAGATGCCAACAACATGCTGGTAGTGATACCTTTCCTTAACTTAAACAACATGGTGGGCGGGTGCAGGGCCCCATATCAATTGGGCACGGAGAACTTGCCTGGGTACCTTAGGATGGGCTCCCTTGTGATGAGAGGTGTGTGTGTGTGTGCGCGTGTGGGTCTGTTTGTTGTGTTCAAGGGGCACACCCCTTCTGGGGATTGCTTCCACGGAGGCTAATTGGACATCACCTGTGTTTTGTTCGGGTCACAAAACACTGAGCACACCCCTGGAGAAAGTCGGTTCCGCAAAGGCCGTTTTTGGTGTGATTTTTCACATGGTTGTCGGGCCCCCGTCCAAAAGCGACAATACGGCACTGCCCTAGCCTCTAGATATCAGGATTGGAGGGCACCTATGGGGGAAATCCAACCGTAGGATTTGGGCGTTTCCCCAGCTCTGAGTCTGGGATTTGGAGTCGAGATTCGCCAAAGAGGCAGGAAAAAAAAAAGCGCCGCGCCCAGGGCCGATCCTCCTCTTCCAGCTTACCCCGTGCCGCGGCAAGGGGGGGGGATATGTTGGGATGTGTGAACGGGCATGTTGATTTCCCTCAGGCCGCGGCTTGAGATGAGACATGTGGCTTGCTGTGGGGTTTGCGGCGCGCTGGCCAAGGCTCCTCGTTGCTTCCGGTGAATGCCCAGGCCGGCAAGCTGCGAGAGCATTCATCTTGCTTTCGAACGCACAGTCCTTTCTGGTGAGTGTGGGCGAAGCGCTTACAACATCGGTACCTGGCCCTTTCAATGTTTGTCAAATGGCCAGCCTCAAAATAGCACAAGCTCATTTGATAGCCGTTTGGGGGTGCTGCTAGCTTTCATGGTTTGGTCTTCCTCGTTCTATGTGGCCTGGGTTTGTGTGTGACGTCCATGATTTCTCTTCCAATTGTTGCAGGGCGACTTCGAGCAAGCTGATGAGTGGCAGCCTGAGAAACGCGCAGAACGGAGGGGGGTACTTCTCAAGGTTCCGCAAGCTTGACAGGGGATCAGCAGATGGCGGCGGGTTCATTTCCTTCGGGTTTCATCACCCACGTTCTATGCCACTTTGGGGAATTACCGGAGTACAACCACGCTTACCTGAGCACCCTGCCTCTTATGCCCTCGCATGCTGCGCGTTGCAGATGGCGTGAGGCGCATGATCCAAATGTGAGGTATTTCCGGGTGGTCATTCGAGTACGTCCTCCTCTGGACCGAGAGCTTACTTCACCAGTTTGGCAGCACGTGGTGTGCTTTGGCATCGGAGCATGACGGGGCAAAGCAGTCGTTGGCGGGATCCAGACCTCATTGATGCATAGGAAGGTGGTGCACATTCATTAAGGCCTCCTCATTGATGTATAGGGAAGGTGGTGCACATCCATCGAGGCAGATGCCAAAAAGGTGGTTTCCCTTGTTGCCACATAGAGAATCACGTGGGTGTGTCTTTTGTCTTTAGGTTTGGCACCCCGCAAAAGGCTTTTTTTGTTGCTTTTGGTTTCCCTTGAAAACGGACCAAACACGGGGCATGTATGACGCAGGGTCTAAAGGGGCGACACCGAGGTCCGTGCCAACGAACTCGCAGCGTCTTGGAAGTGGAGGTTTTCTGGGTACAGCTGGCGGGGGGGGGGGGGGATTGCTTCCAAGCTTCTAGCATGGAACCCACAAACGAGGCCACCCACAAAGAAGAAAAAACTCATTGCCAAGAGGTGAAGTTGATTTACAAGTTATTCTGCAAGAGGATAAGTGCTCGTTGAATGTGGCAATGGTTTCCTTTGGGAGGTGTTTTTAATAATTCCCAGTTGTGGGCTTGATGCTCTTGCCTTTCATTCTAGGTAGGAAGGGCAGGATTGGAAAGAGCGATTGACGTGAGATAGGCAGGTGCGGGCTACACGCACGAATCATATGTGCAGATCTATCACATACTTGCATGCAATGCAGACATGCAGACAGCAAAGACATACAGACAGCAAAGACATCCAGACATACAGAGACACACGGAAACGAATCGAGACAGACAGAGACAGAGAGAGAGAGAGAGAAAGAGAGAGAGAAAGAGAGAGAGAGACAGAGCGCACCCGTGCATTCATCCATCCATCCAGCAATAAATGTGTCCGTCCATCCAGCCGTCCGTCCGTCCGTCCGTCCACCCATCCATCCATCCATTCATAAATACATACTTCCATGCTTCAATGCAGCATGCATTCATACATTACATTCATTACGTTACATTACCTTACTTGACATTACACTACATTACACAACCTTACATTTACATTCCATTACATTACATGACATCACATCACGTCACATCAAATGGCATTGCATCACATCACATTGCATACCTACCGACCGACCTACCTATAGACATATGCAGCAATATGTTTGCCAAGGCCGGTTGCAGCAGTTTGTTCAATGTCACGCTGCGTGGGTTGGTTTGAGCGCAGTGCATCACTCTTTTCCTATGTTAGCGCAATGGATGTCCCAAGGATTTGCCTCTATGAGACAATCGCGGAGGTGAATGCCGGGGATCGAGCGAGTGGAACAACTCAGGTTGTCAACACTCATACGTTCTCCTTTGATTATGTGCAGCCTGGCTGGCACAATCTGTTGGTGCTTGGCATGTGCTTGGCCACAATCAACAGTACCGCAAGGGCCTCAAACATCAATGACAAGAACCGGCGAATCATGGCTGCGCACATGCGCCAATCTCGCCCAAACTTTGGAAAATGAAACATGTCTGCAGGCCCAGCCATCCCAGCCTTCAGGTATGATCAGGACGCATCTCAGCCAGAGGTCTATGAGAATGCTGCCAGGCCATCCGCGCCTTGATTGCGCTTACCGATCCAGTGGTGCGGCCTTAATTTAAAGGAGCGCGTTGGCATTTGCAGTCGAATGACAGCAGGCAAGAAGCTTGACAAACAAACAGGTGCAACAAAACTCGACTTGAACAATTCAATCCAACCACCTTAAGCAGAAGACGCTTGCGCTTCGCACCCCACAGCTGGCGCAACTCAGGCGTCAAGGGCTGCACCACACTGACCGAATTGCAAGATGTGATGCATTTTGAACAGTCATTAGAGGGCGGGCAGTTTGGGATTTCTACAGGAGTCAGTGCTCAAGCGAGGCATTTTCATGTTGAGTGCTCATATGTGTGTATTAGTCAGCTGGTGACATCACCATTTTCCCTGTTGAAGAAATCAGTCAGCTTTTCTTGCTTTTCCACTTTCAGCGGATTCTCCCCAATCTCCCATCCTCAAGAATAGTGACTGCGTGCCCTTCAAATGCAACGTTTTTCAACCCCGCATGTAGCTTGGATAACAACAAGGAGCGCGCTCCGGAAGCAATGCCCTACTTACTCCAGATGTCAGATTTGCTTTCCTTTGGTGTCCCACATTGGGGATCCCCACGTTGAAAAAGCCAGCCATTTGCGGGGGGTTTGGAGGGTGCGTTGTCGGCAAGTGGCTTGTAATTGGAACCTTGAGTAGGATCTACCCTACAGCCCACTTAGGGGACGAATCCGAACCAAGCTGGTCATCAAAGGGGGGCTTTGGATGAGTTGAATGTGAGGGAACTGAGTCACAATCAAGCTTCAACCCTATATGAGTGAGGATATCCTCATCGATTCCTTTTCCCAGGTTGGCAGACCAACTTGATGCCAGACCCGCAACCTACCGGCCGCTTGAAAGTAGGGTTAGTTACTCCACACACCCCGTGACCCCCGTGACGCAAGGTGCAGTCTGCGCTGCAGGGCTACAACGCCACGGTGGTGGCGTATGGCCCCACGGGGACTGGGAAGACCTACACCATGGAGGGCAGCCGCTGGCACACGGGCATCATCCCCCGGTCCATGGAGGATCCTTTGCCCGCCGTTTTGTTGTGTGTTCAACTCCCTCGGGGTTGCCCTTTGTCGGGCGGGTGTTACAGGGAGGCCAAAAAGGAGTGCCCATGTGTCCTTGTATTTTTCAGGGTTCGGCAAGGTTCCCTGGGGATGGTTTTGAACATCAGCTTTGGGTTGCCATTTTTTGTGCTTTTGATGGGCAATATGTTGAGGGGCATACAGGGATTCATGATATCAGTTGAAAACTGACTCGGGTAAGTGAAGGATAGTAAATAATCAGATTCTTTACATGGTTCCGGGACAAGGGGAAAGAACGGATTAGCCCTCTAGATTGGCGGTTTCCCATGTGAGGGCAGGAAAGCCACGGCATGAGGAAGGCTCAATTGCTTAGGACTTCTCAATCCTGGTGGGTGACTTACTGGATTATAGCAATTAGTTCAGCATATCTTTCCAGGAGAAAGCTGGGCCTATGTTTATGACTCCTGGCCGGGGTTACGTTCGTCAAGCCGTTTTTTGCGCCATCCGCTTCATTGGGAGCAGCCGATTGCTCGGGAGCACCGGGCTCAGCCCGTTGCCCTGAGGACATTTTTCAGAACGTCACGAGGAGCGAGCAGTCCACCTTCCAGGCATCGGCAAGCGTGTGGGATGGTTTGCACGATCACGGGACGGAGGGACGGAGGGACCCCAGTTGAACAGCACAGGCACACAAAAACCACGGGCCAAGTCTTGGAGCGTTTGGCCGGGAAGGCTGGAGAATTGAAAACGCGCAAAGCCGGAGGATGTGCACGCCAAGCCAAAGGGGCTGCGTGGGCAAGGCATGAAACGAGAGATAGACAGTGGCAAGTAGGGGCGAATCGGCCAGCGGCGTTCGACGCAACACATCGCAGAAAGCGGTAGACATGTACCACTCAGGATTCGTCATCCCCTTTGTCCCCAACAAACCCAATTCCTGTTGCCGACCTTGGCCCATTCACACGCTTCCGCGTGCTAGGTGCGAGCCTCCTACCTGCAGATCTACAACGAGGTGATTTCCGACCTGCTGAAGCCGGACCGCAGCCACCTCATGATCCGTGGCCCGAAGCGAATATCTTAAGTTGATCCAAATGGGAAGAGGGGCACGGAGACAGAGATGCTGCTCTTTTGGCTGGTGCGATAGGTACGGAACGAGGGAATGAATGAGACATGGAATGACCCCTATAAACCATATAACTGGTTTCCTTTAAGGGCATCCGCAAGTTCATTCCCTCAATGACTCATTCCCTGCTGAGCATCAGCAAGTCTTTGGGGCAAGTTGCTTGGGGTTTGTGCCCGAAGTGAATGATGAAGCTTTTGGATCGGGGCTTTTGGCATGCGGCCTTGTAGTTTGAAGTGGGGTCTAGGCTCACGGAGATTGTTTGGGGGCGGAGTGAAGCAAGCAGAAGGCACACATTCAGCTTAAATCATATTTCAGACTTTGGGTGAATCACCACGGGCACAGACTCTACATTCACTCACTCACATCCCGAGGTGAAGACAAGAGAAGAGGAGTCTTCGTGGAAGGGCTTTCCGAGTGGCTGTGCCGCAGCCCTGATGAGGCAGGGCTCAACGCTGTTTTGGCCTCCAGCTGATGCTCAGCTGCCCCCCAAAGCTTTGAGCTTTTGGCCACGGTGTGGATCCTTCTTTCTCTTTTTTTGGGGGGGGGGGGTGGCGGGGGTTCAGAAAAGGGAAGGGGGGTCAAGAAAAAGGAGGGGGTCAACAAAAATAGTGCGGGGGGTCAAGAAAAGGATGGTTCCATGATTTTGTTCGTGAAGGTTCCAAAAGGTCAACATGTGTCCAACGCGGCCTTTTGGGGAAGTGAGGATGTGCAACCCAGAAGGGGTTTTAACACAACGACGAGGGTCACGCCCCTAGGCAAACAAGCCAGGGGTTAGAGCCTCTTGTTCTGTGTTTGACCATACAGAACGTATGATGTTCTCTGAGCATCTGAGTTTTGCAGCGCTGCCCAACCATTGCCAGACTTAAACTGACCTGGCAGAGACCTTTTGCTCTCAGGCTTCGTGATGTTGAATTGCAACCAGTTTGCAGTCGTTGAGGCAACCACATGCCAACCTGTGTAGTGCAACCTGTCCCCCCACTGGCGGAATTGCAAAAATAAGCAACACGAAGGGCAGCAGGGCTCAAGATGTTCAGGGTTGGAGCCCCAGCCTTGGCTAACAAAATGGCAGCCGCCAAGAAAGATCCGGCTGCGAGGATGGGGCCTCCCACACTTAAGTCTTGGCTTCAAAAGCCAACTCCAAGAAGAAAAAGGTGCCAACTCCAACAAAAACCTACACACTTGTTTTTTTTTTTGTGACATCTTGAGCGCCTATCTTTGGCGCGCCCATCTTGCAGCGCCCATCGCCCATTTCCGCTGGGCGCGCCCGGCCGCAGGTCGAGACGCTCATGGAGCACGGCTCCGCTGCCCGCGCCACGGCGCAGACGGGGGCCAACGACACCTCGAGCCGCTCCCATGCGGTCTTCATCATCGCCCCGACCTCAGATCCCGCGTTTTTTTTTTTTTTTTTTTTTTATTTTATTTTTTTTTATTTTTTTTTTTTTTTCGAAAGGGACAAACACCCACGCATGGTTGTTGTTGGGAAACATTTTACGTTTTTTGCTTTTGTGGTTTGGTGGTTGAAATCCAACCACTTACTGTAACTGCTAGAATTTAATTGTTTGCTCCCCTTCCAACGTCAACCAAGCACGGACTTGCGACCCTTTGGCTCATTTTTGCTGGATGTTTGTTCCTTGGTCCAAATTTTGCGGGAAAAGCCGGGACTTGCTAGAACCTCAACCATGCTGCGAAGCTGGTCCGTGGGGTGGCAAATGGGTGGCGGTTGCTTTTCTCCCTACGCGGCCATTCTTAAAAAGGGTTGGTTTAGACAGAAGACAATCATCAACTGAAAGATCCACAACAACGCGTGTCCGAAGATTTGATTTGCAGCGCAAACAAGCTTCAGCCAAGTGAGGAAGGCTGTGCTTTATGCTCTGAACGCGCAGAATATCCTTTCTCCAAGAGGGCTACTTGTAGCATGGCTTGCTGCCTGAGATGGGTCTCTCGTAAATGAATCCCATATTTGCCAAAGGGCCACAAACCTCAAAGCCAATCACGCATGCCTTCTTGCCAGTGCCCGTTTCTGTTTGAAGGCGCTGTGCTTGTTTGTTTAAACAGCAGGGAGCTGTTGGCGTGCGTTGATGCGATGTGTGTAGCTAGCGGCTGTTGATGTCAGCTCGGATGTCTTGGTTCAGATCCCTCGTTTTTTGGGCTGGCCCGGCTGGTGGCTGCTGAGGGCTGGTCATCGAAGGTGGCCGCAGAGGGGTTTGGGTAGACCCCTGTAGTTCCAAACTTTTTTTGTGACTCGCTATCCCCTTTAAATGAGGTGACTTGAAGATAGTCACCTGAACCCATGAAAGCTTTGGTTCCGCGCTCAAAATTGGTCTTTGCTCCAAAACAGGTTGCCTTTTTTTCTGCCGGTTGGAACGGTCTTACGGGAAACCACGAGGGCAATCAAGAACACACGTGAAAATAATTTGTTTGTTTAGTGAATTGACCTTCTATGTCTCATTTTAAGATGGTCTGCTAGCTCTTGCCCCCAGTTTACCTCCAAACCCTTAGTAAACCCTTGAAGGTCTGTTCTCAAACTGGCCCCCCCCTTTTGAACCAAGGAAACCCGCCCAAAAGTCGTCCAACTGAGAAAAGCACCCGGAAACCGCCCGGGTCCAGGGAAACCAGCAGGAAACCTCATCGCACACGCCGGAAGGTGGTGGAACGGTCGGACCCCAGCAGCCGCGTCACGGGGCGTTTGAACCTTGTGGACCTCGCGGGCTCCGAGCGGCCACGCGTCACAGGCGCCATGCTCGTTTTGCTCGGCGGCCACCGGTGGGGTTGCGTCCTGGGCAGTTTTTGTTTGGATGCAACCATGAAACGTTGAGGTGGGTTGACTTGCAATAAATTTATCACTGCGAAGAGGTCTAAGTGGACTTCTCACCCTTTCGAGTTGCCAAAATCAAGTACGCCTGGCGGATTGCTTTGGGGTGTGACAAATCAGGTTGGGCATATATGGTGAATTGGGGCCCCAACTGTTGGCTCGTCACCTTCGCCTTGAAACCCACCAATAGCATGAATCATTTGGCATGCCAGTTGCCCTGGAAAAGAAAATAACAGGGAAGAATGATACCTCGAAGCATGCTGGTGGCAAGTAGAAAGACTGAGCATTTGAAGTTGAGCAGGTTCTTCCTGGAAGCGGGTGGCCGATGGACATAGTTTGACATGATGCCTGGTAATTGCAGAGGTCATGTACCTCAGATGTTAGGCAAACATGGTCAGTTTTCCTTGGGTTGCCATGGCCATGGCCGAAGGACTCTGACCCTAAGACACGTGTGCGGATTGCTCGGGGCAGCCGCTTCCGTTTGGGCCCGTGAGGTGCGACTGGGCAGCGCTTGGAGGAAACCAAGAAGATCAATCAGAGCCTGTCGGCCCTGGGCGGCCGGGTGGCACGTCGGGGAGACCAGGGGAACACCTAGCCCAGAGGATCCCAGTTACCGCAAAAATAGGTAACCAGCCATTTTGCTTGTGGCTTTTAATTTAAAGGGTGGTTCTCTTGGTGACCTACTGTACAGCAAAAAGCGTCCTTCCAGTTCAGACGATATAGGTGATTAAGGGGTTTTACCATCCATGCGAAAACCTATAGACGTAAAACATATCAACGGGGTACCCGCTATTGCGCTTTGTTTGCAAGCACTGTGAAGGACACACATTTTGGCCATGTTGAAAGTCATGTTGTTGGGGAGCTGTAGGGTGGCCGTCACCACACCTCCGGGCCGCTTGACCCACCAGACAAACTGATGCCCTTCCGATGGAAATACCGCTGGGCTGAGGCAACGTCATCGCGGCGCTGACGGAGCGCAAGGCTCGGTCCCACGTGCCCTACCGGGATAGCAAGCTCACGCGGCTCCTGGAGGACTCCTTGGGGGGCAACTGCCGGACCACCATGATGGTGCTTCGGCGAGACTTGGGCGTGGCGTGGGTTTGGTCGAGGCTTGGTTTTCTACGGCCCCACACGGAGGCCGTTTTAATGAATGGTTTCAACCATGGGGAGGTGATGTGTGAGTACCAGTTTAGTTGGACCCTTTTTATGCTTTGGACCTAGCATGAAACCAGCTGGATGGGGTCCGCCTGTTCAGCGGGAACTTGCCGAGGGCATATAAGATCACTCTCTTTGAAGATGATTTGTTGTTTCCTCCTTCTGGAGGAAATTTGATATGAATTTCGGGAGACATGCCCTTTTCCAAAATGAATCTGATCTGATTTTCGCTTCTCACTTCCCGAGTTCCTGGACTTTAGTCACTTTTTGGGTTTGGTTGCCATTGGGTAAACAAAATAAGAAGCCACTTTCGGCCCATGCACTCGATCGGGTTTCGAGACTTCAGCCTCGGCTCTCGGCTCGCTCGTCCGAGGCCATGGTGTCCCCGGCGGCGGAAGCCTTCGCCGAGTCCTTGTCCACCTTGAAGTTCGCGCAGCGGGCCAAAGGTGTCCTCACGACCCCCCAGGCCATCCCAAGCCATGGAAAGAAGCCCCAGACACATCCGCGGCTTGATCTTTGCGCTCAAATTACTGGATTTGTTTGATGATCAAGCCCTGACCAGGTTCGGGTGTGCTTTTTACTCAGGGCACAAACTTTTTTAGTAGGGCTTCCATGTTTGCAATTGAATTTGTATCTTCCGGGCCCCCACGTATCGCTGCCAACCTGCCCGTATTGCCGCGGGTCTAGCTTCGCGGTCCCAGGGTTAGATGCTTACGTAGGCCCGACGTCAACCCGGGGCCTGTGGACAGGCTGAAAACCTTTGAGACGGGGTTCTTGGAGCAAGGTTGTTCAGAAAAAAAGAGAAATCATCCGTGATTTTCCGTAGCCCTGCGGATGCTGGTGGTGTTTTGCTTTCATGTTTCCAGCGCGGCTACCCATCAGTCTTTCGGCATCCACGTTGAACCCGTTTCAACTCTCAAGCAAACATAATCCCCTCCTGAAGCGCGCATGCGAACCAGGTGAACGAGGACTTGGACCCTCGGCTCCTGGCAAGAAGGCCAGAGAAGTGGCACAGAATGTGCCGGTGTGTTTGTGTTTCTGTGTGTGTTTCTGTGTGTGTGTGTGTGTGTGTGTGTGTGTGTGTGTGTTTGTGTGTTTGTGTGTGTGTGTGTTTGTGTGTGTGTCTGTGTGTGTCTTTGTGTGTCTGTGTGTGTGTCTGTGTGTGTGTGTCTGTGTGTGTGTCTGTGTGTGTCTGTGTGTGTCTGTGTGTGTGTCTGTGTGTGTGTCTGTGTGTGTCTGTGTGTGTGTGTGTGTGTGGGTGTGTGTGTGTGTGTGCGTGTGCGTGTTCGTGTGCGTGTGCGTGTGCCTGTGCCTGTGCGTGTGCGTGTGCGTGTGCGTGTGCGTGTGCGTGTGCGTGTGTGTGTGTGCGTGTGCGTGTGCGTGCGCGTGTGCGTGTGCGTGTGCGTGTGCGTGTGCGTGTGCCGTGTGCGTGTGCGTGTGTGTGTGTGTGTGTGTGTGTGTGTGTGTGTGTGTGTGTGTGTGTGTGTGTGTGTGTGTGTGTGTGTGTGTGTGTGTGTGTGTGTGTGTGTGTGTGTGTGTGTGTGTGTGTGTGTGTGTGTGTGTGTGTGTGTGTGTGTGTGTGTGTGTCTGTGTCTGTGTCTGTGTCTGTGTCTGTGTCTGTGTCTGTGTCTGTGTCTGTGTCTGTGTCTGTGTCTGTGTCTGTGTCTGTGTCTGTGTCTGTGTCTGTGTCTGTGTCTGTGTCTGTGTGTGTCTGTGTGTGTCTGTGTGTGTCTGTGTGTGTCTGTGTGTGTCTGTGTGTGTCTGTGTGTGTGTCTGTGTGTGTGTGTGTGTCTGTGTGTGTCTGTGTGTGTCTGTGTGTGTCTGTGTGTCTGTGTGTGTCTGTGTGTGTCTGTGTGTGTCTGTGTGTGTCTGTGTGTGTCTGTGTGTGTCTGTGTGTGTCTGTGTGTTTCTGTGTGTTTCTGTGTGTTTCTGTGTGTGTGTGTTTCTGTGTGTGTCTGTGTGTGTCTGTGTGTGTCTGTGTGTGTCTGTGTGTGTCTGTGTGTGTCTGTGTGTGTCTGTGTGTGTCTGTGTGTGTCTGTGTGTTTCTGTGTGTTTCTGTGTGTTTCTGTGTGTTTCTGTGTGTTTCTGTGTGTGTGTGGTGTGTGTGTGTGTGTGTTTGTGTTTGTGTTTGTGTTGTGTTTGTGTGACGGGTGGGTTTGTTGTTTTTGTTATTGTCCCGTTGGGGTTCTCTTTGAAAGGAAAACAAATTGATAAACCACACCTCTGGGGACAACATGGGACAACCCCATGTTCCCGCAGATGGCTTTAGGACTCAGAGAGGTATTCGTTCATCAGTTTCAGCCATTCGATGGGAAGGGAAGTTGAGGTGAAAGTTTGCAAGGCCGCCTGTGGGATCTTCAAGTTTCACAACCTGCGTGACGCAGTGCCTTTTGGATTGTCCTTCTCGGTCAAATGGGTTCAAATCGATGGTGCTGGTTTCAGTTTGGTGCTGATGATGTACTACTGCAATTTGATTCCCTGCAAGTAAACATACCCTCCCTCCCACTAACATAACAACTGACAGGGGGTCTCTTCAAAAGGAAATTAATCTTCCAGGTACCTCCCCACAGGTGCCATGTTAGTTGGAGGGAGGGTAGATAGGTTTCCCCCCAAAAGCAGAAGAAGAAGAAGAACTCCAAAAGGCCCAGTCTTCTGCCCCGGCGTTTCGCCAGATACGAAGCAGAGATCCGTCGCCTGCGCACGGAACTGGCAGAGCGGGATGCTGCGAAAGGGTGGCCGGCGGCATTGAAGGCTGAGGACATGTTTGCCACCCGGCAGCTCAAATGGGTATGGTCAAAATTTCACCGCCAGGGGACCGCAGGTTTTGGTCCATGTTTCCACTTACTAGGGTTCCATTTGGGGTACCTTTTTTTGACCCACCGCCAAATAGCGGGCTCCAAATCTAAGGCTCAGTCGCCCAACGCAGAATCGACCTTTTGACCTTTGGGTTTTCCCTTTCTGGTCCATTCATGGCCCCAAAAAGGTGATCACCTTGTATTTCCAGGTCCCTTGGGCAAGTGAGATGGATCAAGTCAAGTGGGCAGAAACTTGGCCATGGGGGTCTTCAGAGCAGCCCTGCAGTTTCGACCCCCGACAACTCGCAAAGCCGCGAATACCCACCGGGCTTCCACGAAGGGGACCCAGGTTTTATGGGTAGAACATTTCTGAAAATCATCTATAGCCTCATGTCCAGTGCTTAAGAGCCCTTGTTGTTCCATTTGGGGCAACGCTACCTATACATACACAACATGCTAAGTCAATCTCATGGGGTTGAGGTTTATTGCATGAGAAAAGCTCTGCATGTGTTTTTTTTGCAGCAGGCTTTCAGCCATGAGCACACAGGCCTACAGATGCCTGTTTATATTCTCCTTGTGCAGATCACAGCAATGCCCAGGATCCTTCGCAGCTGATGAAGTCCGAAGCTAGCACGCTTCGCACAGACTTCTCAGGCGCCACAAGGGGCGAGCTGTGATTTCTCAAAGCGCACAAGGGGAAACTGCCAAAGCTTAGTGTTGGGCTTCTTTCAACGTCCCAGATGTTGGTCGTGACATGGATTCACCAGCCGTGGCGGACTCGCTTTGGGCTTTATGAAAACAACCTGCATTGTTTGTTGTTTCCATTATGTTAATGCAACAGTCATTGTCATCAAGCCCAATGCGGTTGACCGCGCTTGGGCTGACAGCTCCTGTGAGGCGGCAGGACGAAAGGCTCAGAGGAAGAGAAGGCGGGGTGAGACCCCAGGTTCCATGTGTATGTTGTTGTTTCTTGGTTGGCACCAGGGCAACCGAAGGCCCGCCCCCATCAAGATCTCAGGCAGCCCAGCAGCTCTCAACTGCCACATCTGAGCCAATGGGCAATCCTAGGTCAGGTCCAAGTGTGCCCGGGCCCAACAGGTTACTGGGCAACGCCTCAGAAACTTCCCAACCCGGAAAGGTAAACACATACCCCAAGACCCCAATTTAAACCACCAAGGGGATTGTTGGGATCAGAAAAGGGAGTTTGGACGAGATTTCACTCTGCAAACCCCACAAGGGCGTCCCTCAGAGGGAGATGCGTCTAACCGCGGCTGTCCATGCCAAGCTCAGTTTTTCAATAGCACCCCTTTTCCCTTCTTGCTGGCGGGTTCCCCACCAAAAATGGTTCTGGCCCCAAAAAATGACTCGATTCCCTTTTCCAACCACTTTGGTCACTGGTTGCGACTGGGTTAGGGTTTAACTGACACAGCCGGAGGCGCAAGTGGGTCGATACAAGCAGCTCCTCCTAAAGCAGCGCGCAGCTCGGCAGCTGGGTGCGTTCTTTCCAAGGGTCCCCAATTAAAACTCATACCTTCCTGGGTGCGTTCTTTTGACAATCCTGTCGCAGGATTTGGATGAAGCTCCTTGGAGATTTTGCCCAGACAACTGGCCCGAGACGAGAGGTGGAAATGGGAGCCCTCCTGGCCCACTGAGTGTCAAGGCCAGCGCAACCTTTTGGCGCTGAGGATATCATGATCGCCCTTACGCAGCGGCTGCACGAGCGCGATGAGACCATCATCGGCCTGCAGGCGCTGCTGCCGGCATTTGCACTGCACAGCGCCCAACTTGAGTCCATCATCCCAAGGTTAACAAGAAACATCCAGAGAAAGGCCCTCCAACACAACATTCCGACATAAGAGGCGTGTTTTGGCAGGTTCCATGATGGTTGTTTGGGAGCGTTCCTTTGACGATCTCGGTTTGAAGCAAATTGGCGCGTTTTCAACAATGGGCTAAGCTCCACGATTTGATCTCCAGATTCATCATCGCTATTGCCATTCCTGACTTGTGCTCACCAGACAGTAGACAAGCCAGAGGGGGCTCTCATTCCTTTGTCGCACATGGTTTAATTATTGGTCGCTGATGTTTCATGAGCTGGAGGCCTCACGCAACTTGCCCATGATATTTGCCCTTGACTTGGGGACGCTGCGACGGCAGACGTGATGCTGCGTGGATCCTCCTTCCCTTGCCAGCGGGGTGCTGTTGAAGCCTTACATCCAGCTTGCCACACTTGCAAGTTGCTACAGTCAGGTTGTCTCACTGATCCCTGGGACACTACATGGTTGTTGTTGGGAAACATTTTACATTTTTGTTTAGTGGGAAATTCCCACTGAACTGCTAAGATTCATTTTTTGCTTTCCTTCCAATGTCAACCAAGACTATGGAGATTCGCTATTTGCAAGCCCGGCCCTAGCCATTCCTTCCCTGCCAGGCTGAACTGGATTCCCGCGATCACCGAGCCAATGAGCTCCAAGAACGGCTCGAGCGGCAGGCACGCGACAACGCCCCAAAGGCCGCCCAAAGGCCGCCCAACGGCCGCGCATGGCTTGGGTAGTTTGTAAACGTAAGGCCAAGTCAGGCCAACCAAGATCCTGGAGTTGTTTTTTTTTGGCAAAGGGCGGGGGAACTTGGTTCAAGGGCCGTGAACTTTGCAGAGTGTTTGTTTGTATGCAGCCAAGCGAGCAGGCATGCGCATTTGACCACCAAAGCGGACCTGAACCAACCGTGCATGTTTGTTCCTGGGGGGGGTGCCCATGGAAGATGAGCATGGAGCCTCACAAAGTAGTCCAACTCCGTGTTTGTATCAGGTTCTATGCATGCTTGTGGGAGGGTAGAGCTGTAAAACATGCCACCTTTAGAGTTTGCCTATCATCTTCTCTTCAACCTAGGATGCGCTGGCACATCTTGTTGAACATTCCATGGCAGCGTTCTGTGTCAAAGTAGGGGGGTTTTTCAAAAAGGATGAATTTGCCTTTGGCTTCCCTCTAAATTTTAGCAAAAAAGGACACCCTCGGTAGAATATTTTTTGTTGTCCCCTTTTGTGGCTCCCCTGCGTGATTTGGCCACAGTGCCAATGAGGCTGCAAGGCTGGAGAGAGCGCCAGCAAAAAGCAAAGAAATGGCTGTGGCTCCAACAAGTGGTACCCATTGTCTGGCCCCTTGAATAGATAACAAAGACCAACACCTGCTTAACCCCAGCTGTTTAATTTAGAGCCACACCCAAATAAATGATCCATCTCTTTCATTTGCCACATCCAAATAAATGATCCAGCTCTTTCATTTAGAGCCACATCCAAAGAAATGATCCAAATTCACCAGCTCCCCCAACTGCGACCCTTTTGGCATCAGGCGATGCGGCTGGCCGCAGCTGAGAAGGCCCTGCAGGCCTCCTCCAAGGCCAACATGGCCTCCGGCGCCCTGGCGCGGAGGAAGCCCCCGGTCACCGTGCAGAACGCGGGTCATGGTTGTTGCTGGGGTTGCGTTTTACATGTTGCTTGTTGTGGTTTAGTGGTTGGAATCCAACCACTGAACTGCTAGATTTTTTTTTTGCTCCCCTTCCAACGTCAACCAAGGTGTAGTGCAGCGCTGAAAGTCACCCGCAATGTTTGGACTTAAGTTGTGCCCGAGTTACGCGCAGGAGGATGGGGTTGGTCAAGCGGTTGTGTTGTTACGGCAGACGTTGGATTGTACAGGAAAAGCATTGCATTCTTAAAACGCACGCTAGGGGCATAGGTCTCTGCAGATGTTACGAACAAATGATGTTGCTTTTAATTATGCTTTTGTGTTTATTTACATTTGCTTCAGATTGTTTGGCAGTTTGCTGTTTACTATCCTGTATGCACATTATGCTGGCCCCGTAGTATTTACTGGCGCCGGCTCGCACTGCTTCAAAGTGCTGGGTTGCTTTTGGTTCAGCCTAGCACGCTTACTGGGCCTCCTGGATCCGCACGCGAAGGAATGCCTATGCGCAGATCAGAAAACTAAACCTTTTGGGGCCTATTCCATGACCGCCGGTTTCTAAGCTCAGCCGTGTCAACAAGGCAACCGTCGTTTGAACAAGCCTCCAACCGTTTTAACACCCTCCCAGGCTTTTAAAGAAGTTGTCAGCCGTTTTAATGAGCAGCCAGGCCCTTGTAGCCATGGATGCGTAGAATGGAGCGGAAAGGAAAAGCCACACAAATAACTCGTGGCACCTGTAACGACAAACGAAAACGGGGAGCACCTCATGTGGCTGCTTCATCCCGGCCCTCGGATGGCCGCTGGAGCTGTTTGCCGAATGAAGGAGGTACTTGTTGCATTTGGTTGCTTTTGTGTTGCTTGGGTACATGTGAATAGTTCAATAGCTTAGCTGACGTAGTGAGTTTTTCCGGGGCTTCCTAAACCCGCGCCTGGAATTTGACAGGGAACCTTGGCCGCATTGGGGCTCTGTGAATCGAGTAGTTGTTGAAGGAGCATTGTACCGGAGCCTTGCTTGACCATTGAGCCACTCAGTCCCCGAAGTCTAGACTTTAGTCACTTTTGGGTCTTGGGCTTAGAGGCAAACCAATGCTTTTGTTCCTTCACAAGTGAGGTGTTCTTCTCAAGTATAGGACCTACCTCGATTCAGATCGCCCTCAGTCGGTGCCTTGGCTTGGTCTTTGTTTTGGGGATTCCGACCTGTCCACCAAAGTACCTCCAACCACCTCCAATCGGAGGGCAGCTGATCCCAGCTCGCAGCCAGCCGCGCTAGGCCCAGGGCTCTTCCCCCGGCAGCCGCCCCCGGTGTCGAAGCAGCCCGCGCTGCCGGAGGCGCCCTCGCCCAAGGCCTCGCCGGACTCCTCGCCGCGGGCCGCGCAGGCGAGGCGGGCAGAAGGCGGTTCAACTTGCTTCCGGGGTTGGATCTGTTCACTTTTTAAAAGGGGGCTGCAAAAACCCATCAAACCATTGCAGAAAGGGATGGGAATGAAGAAATAATCGATTTGTTGTAAAGGATGGGAAAGGGATGAAGGAATAGATGACTGGAGATCCAAGGAAATGATAGCCACATCCTGGACGGATTTCCCTTAATCACATGTTGGGTCTCTCGTAAGTCCTGGAAATGCTTCCTGTTCATGTTCAAAAGGTGGCTGCAAAAACCAAGGTATTGCCAACATACCAAGGGCTGTTGGAGAACACTTTGAAGAGCATCACAGTACTCAGCTGCCCGAAACAAATGGACCTTTTAACCGATTGGTTTCCTAGTCATGGCCCCAAAAGGTTAACTATTTGCGCTCACTTTCTGAGTTCACGAACCTTTTGTTTTGTTTAGGGGGGGAAACAAGTTTGGTGGTCAAGAAAAGGTTTAGACTTCTTCTGGCCAAGGCACTCAGGAAGTAAGAAAGGGGTTTCCTTGCTTGAATGCTTCGGCTGGATCTTGACCTAGGGGTTACAGAAAGGTTCGCATTGTTTTAAATCGTGGTTAAAGAAGATCTAAGATGGAACCCCCGAAAATCTGTTTGGGACCCTTTCTTGGTGGTTTTGTGTTTGTGATCTGCTGTGAATTTGCGCTCCGCCGATTGCTGGTCCGCTTGCACCCGATTTCAGAATCGCTGGGAAACAGAGTCTGAGTGAAGCCCGACGAAGCAGAGTTGGAAGGGTTGAGGCAAGGCTTTTGGAATCTGGGAATGGTAGACAAGCCCTTTGCTTTGCTCCAGTCCCTGGTGGCTTGCTTGCTTGCCTGCCTGCTTGCCTGCCTGCTTGCCTGATTGATTGCTTGATTGCTTTATTGCTTGATTGCTTGATTGATTGATTAATTGATTTGATTTGATTTGAATTGCTTAAATTACTGATTTAATGCTTGGTTGACAAATTGGTTGATCACCGATCGATTGATTGTTTGGTTAGTTGATTGACTGACTGCTTGATCGTTTGATTGGTTGCTTTGACGTGAACATTAGTTTGATTTGATTTGATTTGATTTGAGTGGTTTGGTCGGTTGGTTGGCTGGTTGGTTTGTTCGTTGGTTCGTGTGTTGGTCGGTCCGTCGGTCGGTCGGTCCGTCGGTCCGTCCGTCGGTCGGTCCGTCGGTCCGTCGGTCGGTCGGTCGGTCGGTCGGTCGGTCGGTTGGTCGGTGGTTTGTTTGTGTTTTTGATTCGATTTGATTTGCTTTGATTTGATTGATTTATCGATTGGTCGTTCGATTGATTGATCGATTCATTGAATGATTGATTGGTTGATTCCCGAAAGCGCGTCAACACCCACTAATGTGACGTAATCCGCTGCCAGAACCTTTTAATTTTAAGTTACGTTGCTTTCAAGCATTTTATGGTGCCAGTTTTGCGTAGAAACGTATTGACACCAACAGTTCTGTTGCCGGCGTGTGAGTAGCAATGCCGATCCACAGTGCCGCCTCACTTCGCAAAGCAACAGGGACCCCGACGCACCAGGAGGTCACACTTCCAGACCTCCAGTATTCTGCAGCGGTGTCCGTGTTTCCTTTTTGTGGCGGCGTGTCCTTCAAACTCAACCAGCGAAGAGAAACAAACAAAGAAGCGTGCCCCTTTTTCCCATGGCCATTGCAGGTCCGGGCATGCAAGTCACATGTTAGAGCGGGCATTTCATAGCAAGATAAGCGCACGAGAAAAACTCCATGCTTCCAGGGTGCCCGAACCACCCTTCGGATTCTATTTTCCAAGGTCCCTGAAGAGGGGCCGACTTGCGCACTACTTTGCCCCAGGTTCTTGAGACGGACCGCTTGCCACGGCACCTGCCGGAAAGCCGCTCGGCAGAACTGGGGTTCACCTTTGTGCCTGCCTCTTGTGGTTGAAAAGCAAGGGCCTTCTGAAGAAATGAGAAGATGCCATCGGATCTCGGTATATTTGGGCAAGCTAGTGGGCTGGGCGGAAAACGAGCGGCCCCGTGATGAATGTCCCTACTGCTCGCCAATTCCTCCTAGCGGACTGTATATTGACGCTCTTTGCCCACGGATCCCCCGCTTTCAGCCATGGGAAGTACTTCAAATCCAGGTGAAGCTCCAAAACTGGCTTTGCTAGACATCTCTTTTGGGGACCCCTGGTGTCGTGTTCCATCTCAATTTCTAGGGGAATAATTAGAACCTGGCAATGAAGCCCCACATGCCCGCAGGTCGGATAGACTCCCCGACGGCTTCGCAGAGAGGCCTCCCGAGATCCGCTGACACGAGCTCCTTGGCGAAGAAACGTTGATCCTGCGGAGATGGACGGAGTCTTCGGGTCGCTACTTTGAATGCTCCCCCGGATTTGTGTTTGCAAATGTCCACCTTGTTCGAGGGTAGCCGTTGTGATGAATTGTAGTTTGAGTGAGGATTTCTCCAAACGCCCACCATCAGACCGTCAGTGGGCAGGGACAGGGTCAAAATTGGATCCTTACGGGCGGAGTTGCCCGGCGGTCCGCTGTCAAAGTCTGAAGCAGCAGAAGGGGTCAGTGGCCGGCGCTTCGGTTGAAGGGCGGCATGGCAACCTCATTGGCAGACCCAAGATGGGCATGGCGAAGGGAGCTGAGTGGCCCGCCTTCTCCAAATGGGCCCATGGTTTGACCAAAGGCTTGGGCTGACACGCAGGTGCAGCCAAGTGGGGCCACGGGCTGCTCAACGCAGACGACAAGGCTTGGCTTCCTGACATTCGCAGCATGCAACAAGGGTCTGCCTTCTGCGTTGCCGGGTTCATGGGCAATAAGCCCAGGATAATCCAAGGATAAGTCCCCAATCAGGCCTTGCGGGCTTAATCATTACTGTAAATTCGGATTTGTCCGGGAGACCCTTCAA